CAAAACATAAAACAAAACCAATAACCGAGTACCCGTACCGGTTACAAAATGTAATGTAACAAGGAGGGGCAGGGCGGGTACCGCCTTGCCATCTGAGGAATAATGCGGCCGGTACAACGAGTTGAACTTGGGAAGGTCATCAGTCTAACCCAAGGGCGTTTTGTATTGTGAGAACTAAGGACTCCGTTAAAACCCAACAAGAGATATGAGCTGGCTCAAAGAACGACACAGGTGATCCCCCCAAACATAATCTTCCATCCCCCCTAATCGAACACGAAACCTGCGAGTAGACGATAGACAGGATGCCGAAGGCATTTTACCAAAAGGGGCTCATAAGCGACCGTGATGAGTAGCTTGAAGTGCCAGTATCGTGGGATAACCAGCAAGCAACGAAACGAGAAGCAAACAAGTAATCCACTACACAACGCCTAACCGACCTCAACACCAAGAACCCCAGGAACTACTGAGCGAACTCTGATATCTCCTCCAGAATCCAAGGCATCAAGGCCCATCATAGGTGTGAAAGAAATGTTCGAGGCAAAGCAACAGCAAGGACGAGGAAAAGTACTTAGAACAAAGCATGAAGAACCTATCCGCCTCAGCCGCATCGGCCTCCTTATATAGTATTCTTCCCGCCTGTAGTCATGTGACCCAAAGTAGTCACATGTGCAAAACCAAATCATAACAAACTAGTCATGTGATCAAAGTGGTCACATGCTCAAAACCCATGACCTCATAGCGAGGTCATATGCGAAAACTCATAAACCAATCATAACACAATAAACAAGTCATATAACTCGACTGAATTATATGCGCAAAACCTATGACCTTATAACAAGGTCATGTGCGAAACATAAATCATATGCGCAAGGCATACCCACAAGGCACACTCGCAAGGCATACTCGTCAGGCGCATGTCCCATGACTCATATTTGAGCCATGTGTGAAAGTATCACAAATCCCATACATAACAAATCATATAACTCGAATGAGTCATATATGTGAAACAATAACATACCTGTGACTCATAACTATGTGTCATGTGAAAACCTTTTCCTCGCCAAGCCACATTCATGACAGGACCCTTATTTTTACCCCAAATACAGGCCCATACCATCAGCTTTATTCTAGGCCTCTTTGTAACCTTTTGAATGCAGTCCTTATGCTACTTTTCCTCAGGTGTTCTGAATTACCCAAATTGTTAGGAATACCAGAACCCGATACCTAGGAACCACCCTAAGTAGGGTAACCCCACTTGGAATCGGAATCTCTGGTCTCCAACACTCCCCTCCGGCTCCCTTACGGAGCCCGCGCGTCATCACATATATCAATCTCAGTTGCGTCCTGTGACTACATAACCACAGAATTGAAGGTGTAAGAATAATACTGTATACGTCGCCGCCGTCCGTCTGACCGGATCCTGTTCACAGGATATATGAGAGGGGACCTTCGGCTAGGCCTGGGAAGTGGAACAGAGTAATTCTGTCAACGACTCAGAGAGTTACTAGGCTTCAAAGGTATGAGACCTTTGGCGTGGGCCGTAAGTAACAGGACAATTTCGCATAATGAGATGGTATCAAATAGTAAAGGATCTCTACTAGAGACCGATACAATCGCATACACCAGAAGAGTCTAGAACTCCAAAAGACACTACCAAAGAAGCTAACGAACTTCACAGAGTGTTGCAACTGGGTTTCAGAACATGTTGTAGTCATGGGGTAATTCTCAAATACTACGATGGTTACTGAAACCTACTACCCAGAGAGCAACCAAAGGTTGCCGACCAAGGGATTAATTACCAGTCTAGTGGAGTGGCTTCCTGCGAGTAAATAGGAAGTCATCCAAAGAAAATCTATTGGTTGGGTATGGAGTTACAAAGGATTGGAATCAAATGACCTACGATGGTTGTAATGACGACCACCTTTGCAGATATAGCCATGGATAAGACTGATCATTTTATCAATAGTGAAGACAATTGGAGCCAACTGTTAGGTGGAGACAACCCGATAGACTTCAGAGTTGTCTAGGCCGATCGAGATTCGTTTTTATAGACGGAGATTGTCTAGGAAGGCTCAGACTTCACTGGTTTCGTTTATGACTACTAAGAGCGAAGTAAAGTAGGGTAAAGTAAAATCGTAAGAACAATATTATATTGTTAAGGTCTCTTCTCCATTGCTTGATAATGTCTAAAGCTTGGGAGGCACTTCGATATTTATATTCCGCGTCTGAGTGTTCGCGGACTACATCTAACTAACATACAACCATGTACCTTTTTCCAATATAACTCGCAACGTCGGGTTTTCTTCCAAGGTACGAATACCTGGAGACCCTGAAAATCATCACACCCTCTTTGATAATTATAATATGACTATTTGGAAGTCATGCTGTTTCCAATAGTAATTATCCGATGGTGAGAGTCTTTTAGACAAATGGCCCAATTCTCAAGTCGAACTGTGTTGGCTCCAATCGTCTCCCTTGTCGATGAAATGATCAGTTTCATCTGCGGGTTTCATCTGCGAAGATAGTTGTTATTACCGACTTTCTAGGTCATCTAACTTCAACTCTTCATAACTCCATACCCAACCGATAGATCTTTTCCGGAGGACTTCCTACTTACCCGCAGGAAGCCTTTCCATAGAGTTGGTAGATAATCCCTCGGTCGGTAACCATTGGTTGCCATGGGTAACAGGATTCTGGTTACTGTCACCAGTTTGGGAGTCACCCCCTGTGGTTGCAGTATGTACTGGAACCTAGTTGTAACACTCCTCGAACTCCATTGGGTTCGATGGTAGTATTCTCAGGAGTTCCAGACTCTTCTGGTTATCGTAGGGTGGATGTGAATGTATTGGTCTTTCATTAAGATCCTTTACTATTCATCATCATCTCTTTGCGCGAAAACGTCCCGTTACTTGCGGCCTATGCCAAAGATATCTCGTTCTTGAAGCCTAGTAGCTTTCTGGGTAGTTGACGGATTCACTCCGTTATACTTCCCAGACCTAGCCGAAGATCCCCTCTTATATATCCTGCGAACAGGATCCTGTCGGACGGACGGCGGCGACGTATACGGTATTATTTTAACACCTTCGATTCTGTAGTATAATACTCACAGGACGCAACTTAGATCGATATGTATAATGACGTGCGGGCCCCGTAAGGGGGCCGGAGGGGGGTGTTGGAGACCTGAGATTTCGATTTCGGGAGAGGTTACCCTACCTAGGGTGATTCCTAGGTATCGGATCTCGGTATTCCTAACACCAACTCAGTTCAACGTTGTGAATTACGATTGAAGAAGTACATAGTTGTATGATAAATAGATGTAGTCCGCGAACACTCAGACGCAAAATATAAATATCGAAGTGCCTCCCAAGCTTTAGACATCATCAAGCAGCGGAGAAGAGACCTTAACAATATAATATTGTTTTTACAATTCTACCTACTTTACTTTACTTCACTCCTAGTAGTCATAAACGAAACGAGCCAAGTCCGAGCCTTCCTAGACAATCTCCGTCTACAGAAACAAATCTCGATTGGCCTAGACAATCTTGAAGTCTATCAAGTTGTCTCCGCCTAACACAAATACTCTTGGGATCTTTGGACTTTTCAACCATGTTTTCATCACTAAAGATACATCCCTCAAACTCCTCCTTTGTCTAATCCTTATACTCCTTAGCCCAAGCTAGCCTCTTAATAGCATGTTCATCCTTCAGAAATGCTCTTTTCTTAGCTCTCCAGTTCTTGATGTTGACTGATACTAAAGCTCACTTAATGGTCTTCACAGAGGCCTTTGGGACAACCTCATTGTGCAATTCAGATAAGGGTAGGTAATGTGCCTTCTTAGACTCTCTGACTAGGTGGCGATGGGTTCTGGTATCAATAATTTTTGATCTTCCCAGCATAGGGAGGTTTTTCTCATCACGCCTCTTTTGATACTAGTTATAGAAACCTAGAATAGTACTCTTATGACAATTCAAGAGCTTTCCAATTTCTGCAAAAGAGAGATTCTTTTTTCTCAGAGCAACAATTTGCCCTTTCTCAAAGTCTGTGAGATGCCCAGTACTTTTTAGAGGCATGGTTAGTGAGGGGTGGTTGATTGTTGAAGTCGGTTTTTTTTTTGAGGTGTTGTCCGGTTGCCGCCGATCGGACGAAAAGTTTTGTCCTAGTATGATACTTTAACCAATTGAGGTCAACGTGGTGTTGTTTCATGACTGCAAAAATGCCGACTTTTGGTGTGCATAGGGTACTATAGGCTGCAGGGTGCCGGGTGCTTGGTGCAGGTGCAAGGGCGGTAACCCGTTAACCGGAACAGACAGGGATATGAAATATATTTCATATTATTTGGCAGCAAATGCGCTCGCTCAGGGCGGAAAAAAAATCAGCAGGATCCTGTGGGGTAGTGAGCGGGCGATGAGTTGAAAAGACCACACTGACACGAACTGCCCCCCAAGCGGATTCCGAGTCTGGGTTTCCAACTTCCATAATCCTATGCTTCTTTTCCTGAGTTTTGTTAGTCGATCAACACAACCCCTACTCTGGCACCATGGGTTTTCCGCCCTTCTTAACCATGCACGAATTCTGCGCTTGTATCATACTCTTGAGAATATTTGAAAAGTTGCCTCTATGCACACCTTGAGGTAGGCTATTGTTGATAATTTTCAAATATTGCTCTCATCCGACCGCACCCCACAAGCGCTTGGTGAGAGATCAGGTCCGTGAGTAGACTGGGCAAACAACGGTTTTTTGCAACTCGAAGAAACCCGGGTATTTTTCAAAGCTGTGGTCATAGGCTTGGTCTGTGTATTCTCAGTCTTGATCTCACCGCAAGCACAGTATTTGAGTAAGACAATCGGAATCAACTACTGGGTGCTCTCATAATAATAATAATACTCATAGACACCAGGAATTACCCGGCTTGATTTTTGGCTGCTGCCAATCTTATGCCTCTTACAGAAATGCACTCCTAACTTATAATTATATAATTATTTCCTACCCACCTACCATCTACAGTTTTACACATGATATTGGTAGTCCGTCGTCCTGTTTTCGGGTTCAAACAACTTTACACTTATTTCTTTACTATGTTTCCTTTATTATTTTTTCTCTATGGCATGAAGGAAACAGACCTGCTTATAAGGGGGCCCCCATCCCCATCGCTAAGGAGAATCAGGGACAAGAATGTCTGCCGATTCCCCTCCCCCACACCTCCCCCTCCTCCTCACGCCTGCCCTTTATGTCTTCTGCATGCTGAGTTCGTACTCCTGTTAAGAGTTATTAGGATCGCACAGTACCTACCCTTCCACAATTTCGGAACCACTCGTTTTTTTCAACCAAGAGAAGAAGAAAACCCTTACCGACGTCAACCGTTGAACACCTGGACCCGACCCTAAATCATACCTGATCAGCAGATCACCAACGAAATCCTTACTCGGCCTCCCCTTTGCCTCTCTCACTTCGCTTCAGCCATAAGACCCCACCCCATGACGCAAGATTGAATCCTCCGGACAAACAAACTCACACAGGGACATAATCGCAATCATGAGAATCCTCTTGATAGACGCCTACGACTCATTTGCCCAGAACCTCGCCCAATTGCTAACTTCTGCTACCGGAGCTACGGTTTACACTATCCGCATCGACGATTTCGCCGACATCTCGTTTCTAAAGCCGCACCTACCCTCCTTCCATGCGGTGGTTATAGGGCCCGGTCCAGGCTCGCCGGAGGTTGAGGCGGACATTGGTGTCGTGAATGATGTTTGGAAGCTATCTGGCGGGGATGTTCTCCCCGTATTTGGCGTTTGTCTGGGGTTACAGAGTCTTGTATTCTCACACGGAGGGCGGGTGAACAGATTGGGTACCGTGAAGCACGGCTTACTCAGCGAGATCGTGCACACTGGGGAAGGGCTTTTCGAGGGAGTTGGCAAAGTCAATGTTGTGAGGTACCATTCTTTGCATGGAATCACTAAGATTGGCGGGGATGTGGAGGAGATTGCTTGGGCATATGATGAGAATGGCAGAGTCGTTATGGGTGTCAAACATATTTCTAAGCCTTTCTGGGGTGTGCAGTATCATCCTGAGTCGGTTTGTTCTGAGGATGGAAGGGATGTTGTCGGGAACTTTTGGAAAATGGCGATGGATTGGAATACCGGTCAGGGCAGGGTTGTGAAGGAATTGAGAACGGATTGGAGGGGGCAATCAAGAGAGAAGGGTCTGTTGGAATTGCAAACAACCTTGGAGGGCAGAAGGTTGGACGATTGCCAGAAGGTGGAGGTTAGGACCGAGGATATTTTTGGGAAGGGGATTTCCGCTGGCAGGATTTGTGAGATATTGGGGGTTGAGGCAGCTAACGAGTTTATCCTCTTGGAATCTGCAGCTGCTCCGGGGAGGTTCAGCATCATTGGGGTATTGACACCCGGTTTAACACAACGGATTAATTACACTTGTGGCGATACCTTTCTGAAGTTATCCTATACCGGGCGTGACTCCTCGGAGACCAGGATTGATCTACGGACTTATGGGGGGAGCATATGGAGATTCCTGGCAAAGTACATGGACCAGCGCAAGGCTGTTGGAGGCAAGGACCATTCGCCCTTTTGGGGTGGGTTGGTTGGATATTTCAACTACGAGACTGGTGTCAACAGTCTTAATATTCCCATCAAGCCGCGCAAAGAGGCCGAAGGAATGAAGAGGAGACCTGACGTCAACTTGGCCTTTGTGGAGAGGAGTATAGTCCTAGACGGACACACTGGAAGGGTTTATATACAAACTCTCCTCCCGCCCGCTGCGGATGGGAATTGGTTAGAGTCTACAAAGAGACAGCTTCAACCGGAAGCCGACATGGCAATCACACCTTCTGCTACTCCTCCACCAGAGCCCTCCCCGGAATGTCATCGCTCATTTCTTGAGACGTCTCACCCGAAACCATCGCCAGTCATATACAAACCGGACGCTGAGAGATACATGCAGAAAGTCAGGACTTGTCAATCTTATCTTTCGGCCGGTGACTCCTACGAGCTCTGCTTAACTGCCACTACTAAAATTCATCTCGAGCCCACAAGCCCTTGGGCGCTCTACCGACACCTATGCGCTCGCAACCCCGCTCCTTACGCGTCGTACTTCCGCCTCTCAAACGTTACTCTCCTCTCCTCGTCCCCCGAGCGTTTCCTCTCTTGGTCCCGCACCGGGGCTTGCCGACTTTGTCCCATTAAAGGCACTGTGAGGAAGACCCCCACAACAACCTACAGCTCGGCCAGCCTTCAACTGAACACACCCAAGGAGCGTGCAGAGAATCTGATGATCGTGGACCTCATTCGTCACGACCTTCACCGCCTTGCAACAAACGTCTCTGTGGAGAAACTAATGGTCGTAGAAGAATACGCTTCTGTTTACCAACTCGTCTCCGTTATCACCGGATCTGTGGAGCCCCAAGACAACATGACAGGATTCGACGTGCTTGCCCGTAGCCTGCCGCCAGGAAGCATGACCGGCGCGCCGAAGAAACGTAGCGTGGAAATCTTGCAGGAGATTGAGGAGACGGAGAGAGGGGTTTACAGTGGCGTCTTGGGCTACTGGAGTGTTTGTGGTGCTGGCGACTGGAACGTGATTATTCGTTCCGCGTTTAGGTACGACGATGAAGTTGTCACCATGGAGGATGGGGGTGAGAAGGAAGTTTGGAGGATTGGAGCTGGTGGCGCAGTTACGGCTTTGAGTGGACCTAGGGAGGAGTGGGAGGAGATGGAGGTTAAGCTTGGTGAGCCCTGCTCTCTCTTTTGTTGAAAAGTTGGAGTGAGGCTAATTGTTGCAGATTCGACTTTGAGAGCTTTCGTGGATGACTTGCGAAGTGAGGCTTGACGGCTAGCGCTATGTATATTCGGAGCCGGGCAGGGTGCAAACCGTGAGGTTTCTTGATCTTTTTCACAGATTTTTCTGCCTTTCCCATCTGAATTTCATTTCTGCTACATATACTTTTGGATTCCTAATTTTCGCTTTCTTCCCCTATTTTGTTTATACTCGTCGGCGTGCTGTTTGACTGGCCGATCGTTCGTGGTAGGGCGGGTTGGTTTCTCTTTTTTTTGTCTTTTTGCGTCACTGTTGGATTAAGGATTCTAGGCATGGTGGTTATAGTATAATAGAAAGTTTGCGCAGACAGACTCATGCGGCATTAACATAGGTTAATAGCAAGGCTTGGCCACCTGGTTCCCTGATTCCACCTGGTCGAGCTGTAAAAACTGTGAAATCGGACCTAGAATTAAAGACCCTAAATGCCAACTTCCACCGCACTTCTATGCCTTCATCAGGGTATGATATTGCAACCGCCCCCTTGAAGCATAATTTTGACAAAAGCGGTTACAGGGCGCCTTGGGAATTGGTAACTGTATGACCTTGAAAGAGCCGAGTTTGAGAAACACGACATTTGTTAGTGGTTTCGTGCGCCCACGGTGCGGGCGACAACCACTTGTATGATAACGCCATTGGTGACTCCCACCTAGGTCAGGCTACGCGAACCCTCTCTAGGATTTGGACTCTAGCGAGCACGGTCTTATAATGGTCCATATTGGCTGTTTTTCGCCGGGACCCGTCAGTTGTCAAATAGCGACTTGATAAGTGAACGCTTGACGGCACTATTCACTCATCTTTGCCAAAGAATACCTCCGTGGGCCGGATATTGGCGAGGACTCCACCAAAATATCGGGTGGCGGAGATATTCTTGGTAAAGGCGAGCGAGTACCGTGCGGTACAGGCTGTGGTAAAAAAAGATATGGGAAAACAATGAAAAGGTTCCTGGGTGTTGATTGGTGTTTCTGACAATTCGTTTCCACCCTCCTCACTTGTCGTCCTCACCTGTTTTGGCAATACCACGACCGTAGCGCACGAGTACTTGCACTGTGCCACATCCCCCAACACCAACCTAATCATCGCTACCGTAAATTACCAGTATATCCTTCCGACAAGAGGCTTCTGCTCTTGCAGTAAAAGTTCTCTGCACGCAACCCCCCCTTTTTTTCCTAGGCGTGATCGGCCTCAGGCCGAAGAGGTCCACTCGAACGCCCAATTTGACGTTAGGTCAATCGTCAGATTTGTATGATTTGCGAAAGGAAAAAAGAGCCCGGCTCGGCCAAGTTCGCGCTTAACTGCTCTCTTTCGGCTATTTATGGGCGGGTAAGATTCTGCGACCGGGTCACTGAGGCTTTTGCGCAAGAGGATCCGGCGTATAGACTGTATGAGTAGGGCGGGGGTGAAAAGATTGGGAAGGTGTATTTGAGGTGGAAAAGTGGCTGGGGTAAGGGATAATTTATCTCTCCTGGGGTAATAGGAACGGGTGAGATGAGGGATAGTCCGCGGTGGGTGGCCGAGTCATCGCTCTTATTGGCGGGGACAAGTGCTATAGACCCAAAATTACTGCCAATATAAATAAAAACAATCTGTCAACCGCAAGTGTCTGGTTTGTTCATGCGATAGGATTTCCTACGTGCGATATTCTCGTACCTTGAAGCGATGAAACGATGACTTACGAAAGAAAGAAAAAGGCTCCCAACCACAAGTAATGTACGAGTAGATGTGACCACAGCTGATACCGGATACCAATTGTCGCAAAAACGCAGCCGTGGGTATCCAGGAGCTTGGCAATTTAGTAAAACTCTCTTTGGTGCAATTAATTGTGAATCGGCCCTCGCACAGGCAAGAGAAGAGATATTATAGTTCGAGGAATGATATCAAAATATTCTTGCCGGGCGTCGGAACTTATATAATATTATAGGCAATTTCACAGCCAACCAAGAATGCAAGATACATATGATTCAGCTGAAATTTGGATATAGTCAAGTCCACAGCACTACATTATACTGATGGTCTACGGTACCTGAAGTTGATACCGGTACAGCCTTGCTTGCAAAGTTTTCGAGGGAAAGGAGGTAATTTAGTTGGTGGAAAAGTCACGGGATACATAAATAATTCTTGTACAAGTACTGTACTCGAACTCGCGCTTGACTCACTCACTTACCTACCTACCTATTTACTTATTATTTAGTTAAATCCATGGTATAATACGAGTAGAGTATATGATAGTACCCTTATGCCGGCAAGAAGCCTATCAAGGCTGATTTGTTTGCTCTCAAGCCTGTTCCTTATTATGTTGCACTTGTACAATGCATGTAGGACCGGGGATCCTCCGGATAATAAAAGCCCCGAAAGATGAAATGCTACCTATTATTATTGTCGATATTGGTTCTTGGTCCCCCCACATAGCATTCCTTTTTTTAGAGTATTGGAAGTTAAAAAGTACCGTACTCGAGTACTGATAGGACAGAAGTTTTGGCGCGGTCGGTAAGTATCATAACAGCCAAAATACACCAAAATAAGCGAAATCGGAACCTTACAAAATTCATTGTGCCACAAGCGCCTCAGTACCGATGCTCACCAAACTTTCGGTCAATATCACTTTAGCCGCAATCAATTGTGGATTGGCCCACGCGCGGGCAAGCGAACTTGAATTGGGAGCGCCAAGCCTCGAAATTTGTAAGGGCCTGTTTGGCAAAGATGGAACCATTCCGTTTGGCGACCATTTCTCATACAAAATGTCCATTTCGAAACGGAAGGAAAAGGAAGGTCAAGCACTTTTATGAGAAACGGTTAATAAACGGAGCGGTTCCATTTTTGCCAAACAGGGCCTAAGGGAGCCCATACAAAAAGGTGCTTGTTTTGTTATGATAATTATTATCATAGGAAAAAAAAAAAATAACCGAAAATTTGGCGCCGCAACGTTCTGCTGAGCGACACCTCTCCCTCTCCCTCACTCCTCCATACCTTTATCACAACTATTATGGAGGTGGATGGATGGCGTACACGATAGTGGGTAAGATTTCGTGTTTATTTTATTTTTAAATATTTTTTTACTTGTGGTTTTGGTGGTCAATGGTTTAGAAGTCGAGAAACTATGAAAGTGCGCCTCGTTGCTTGGCGATGTTCGGTTAATTACCCGAGTATGCTAACATTAGACTACAAGATTGCACTCCCTCCATCTCCGGGTACCCCAGTGAGGTACCGTAGTCTATAGTTAAGCGCTACAAGCAGGAGGCTAGACATAGATAATGGCATGACCACGGTACTTGAACCCTAACTTAAGAGCTCAGTACAGGTACAGTACTGTGTGGTGGCACTGCAGAACCTTCGAAAGGGCAGCACGGGAAGAACATTAGGAATGACAGAGTGCTAAGGGAGGACACGCTCTCCATCAAACTGCCGCTGTCGAATTGCACGGCATATTTCTGCATTAGAACAGGGGCTCCAATCCAGCAACCGCTCACATTAAGGGTATCGTGCGAGTAAAAGTTCACACAGCCCAAATACAAATATCTCAAAAATACATCCGATATAGTCCATCCGACAAGGTTGATCATACTACAATTTGTGCGCAAGCTTCTGTTCCTCCTGAGGATTACCGCAGTACCTATGCCGGTAGAGATGCTGGTAGATCAAATGAGTTCTTTTAAAAGTTGCACTTCTAACGAGAAGTCATCGTGAGGAAGAGTACCACATCTAAAGTTCGACCCAGAAGCTTGCAACTGTGAAGGATCGCCGAAAAAACCACTCGCTACTCTACCGACAAATTTCAGTCCCTATCCATTTTGTGAAGAGCCGCGGTTATCGATCTCTATGGCGTACAGCTATGGTGGTAGTAGCCACAAGGTCTCTTCTCGCCATTATACCAAACCAAACTTACCCCACCAGCCATATACTTTGGTAGGCGCTTCTGAATCTCAAAGTAAGGGTGAATTGACTGCATTTTACAAGCTTTGTTATTAATACGTTTCTAGTTCCGCCCAAACCGGAGCTGGCCCTGACCACGCACTTGGATAACCAAAGTGGGAATAAACCATGGAGACCATTTACCTTACGAGCGCCGACTATCATGGCTTCCATTCTCATTACAGTTGCTCTGATTACACTTATAGAGTATATCAATAAAGTCAGTCTTGAAAAGAAGGCATTGTTCTTTGCGGAACACCCAGAGGAATTTTCGACCGGTGTGGTATTCTGCTATAGGTATATGCCCCAGATTGTAGTTGTGGTGCTGGGGGTGGGGTGGGCCGCTGTGGATCTGGATGTGAAGCGACTGGAGCCGTACTTTCAGCTATCAAAGTCCGACGGAGAAAGTGCTAGCAACTCGATATCCCTTCACCACCCCTTTGAGTTCATTGCCTTTGTACCCATCAGGGCTGCCAGAAAAGGGTATGCTTTTAATGCCTATCCTAACTATTAGCGATGTATAGAGTTGACGATATGGAGGCACTGGAACGTCTTCTGGGCCGGATTAGCTTTGTGCTTGATTTTCTGGGTCGTTACACCCTTGAACAGTTCTCTCTTGACTACCCAGCCAGTGGTACAAGATGTACCGACATTATTCAAACCTTTCCAGAAATTCACCTCCTTCGATAACCAACTAGTAGCTATGAGCCCTTCCTTCCTGTACACCAGCTATTCTATAACCTGGCTCGGGCAAAAAGTTCCCAAGTTCATGACCAAGGAACTTATTGCCGTTCCCTTCAAACCAGCTAGCTACAGCGAAGGCCAACATCATTTAACTCGGGGGAAAGAATTCTGGACTGCCCAGACCAGAGTTTACCAAACAGAGCTTGAATGCGCTCCTGCCGAGATGGTGTCTCTCAACGGAACCACATTTCAACCTTCTCTCTAAGCGCAATGAAACCCGACGCATGGTATATCTTGCGTCCTAGTTGTCCAATAGGGATTACTTCCAAATGAAGATATGTGCGGGAACGAGCAAGTTCCTTGCGATTTGGGCTAAATCACGCAATGCTAATAACAGTATTGCCAATCTCGATATCAATGCTCTCCATTGTAAGCCAACTTACTATTACCGGACCCATGAAGTCACAGTGGAAGGAACCGAACGCTCCATACTCCAGTCAAAGCCAGTTGGAGAGCGAATTAGTTTCACACAGTCCGACGAAATTATCGACGTCGAGAATTTTGAATGAATTGCCAACGGTATGACCACCTCGATGAAAGCAAATGCCAGTTATTTCGGGTTCTCTGGTCCTACTTCTATGACCAGGTTTGATCATTGGCGCATCGATAAACCGACTGGGCAGATCTCGTACGTTGTTGGATTATCGGAGGGAAAGAAATT